ATGACTCTGACGAGCAGACGTCGCCGGTCACCCCGCTCTCTCGAGGCGTGCACGTCGCTAATTCACATTTCTCGAAAACTAGTGCAAGCAGAGGGAAGAGGGGGTGCCTGGAAAACAAAACACATTCACTGGAGTTTATATAGACTATCTGTTCTGCCTCAAGCACAAGACATTCGGCTTCAAGGCCCTGTCTCCTTTCCCCCCCCCCCTATCCGCACCTTTTCAAATAATGGAGAAATAATGTGATTTTTATGTGAGCATTTAAGTAGCCTACTTTTTATTTCAAATTTTATAAAAAAAAATTATGGTTGTGACAGCAGGCCAACAGCATTAATTCCATATCATTGAAAACATACGTAGCCTAATAAAAGTGAATTTGTAGTCTTCAATTTAAAGGGGACAAACGTAAATATTTCCTCAATTTCAGAATAACAAAGTGGCTATAACAGAACATCGTAAAAAAAATGTTTAGCACAAAATAACAAGCGACTACATCGAAAAATATTTTAGTTTAGACATTCTGCCCTACAGCCGAACTCATCGACATAATAAAATAGGCAACATGGGGTATTAATCACACATAGCCTACCCGTAAATGGCGTCTTTGTCCCGTTTTAGCGCGTCGTTAACGGGCGCCGGGCCCCCGGGAGCCCCGGGGTGCGCGTGCGGGTGCGGGTACTGGTGAAGCGGCGGGCCGTGACTCACGTGAACCGCCTGCATCGCTCTGGCCGCGTGAGGATCCCCGTACATCGGAGACGGGATCCCGACCGCATCCATGCCGTAATGCACCAGATCCTCGTACTGAGGAAATTCACAATGTGGAAGTTAAAACTCAGATTGGGATTTTGTTACACACACACCTTTACACATAGGCTACACTCTTAAAAATAAAGGTTTCAAAAGGTTTCGCAGGCATAGTAGAACCATATGGGATTTCCCAAAGAACAGAGTTGTGGAAAATGTTTTATTAATCTAAAGAACCCTTTTCCACTGTAAAGAACCTTTTGTGCAATGGAAAGGTTCCATGGATTTTTAAAGCTTCATCGACACCAATAAATAACCTTTATTTTAACAGCAGGCACTTTTTTGTTTAAATTGAGCATCAAACCCCAATTAAACCGAATTACACGTCAGTTGTTTCATACTTAAAACAAATAAATTAACCAGGCATTAGTTTTCATTTTCAGGCCCTTTGTGACTTAAATGTGCAAGATCGTAGGCTACAGCGGAAAATATTAATCATTGTCATATACTTCTTGAAAACTTTTTTGGAGCTGTTTTCACATTTTAAACACATGGAATGTTTTAATTCACATGTGATGTAAAATTTAAACATGTTATCTTAAATTACCGTGTCAAACTGATTTTTATTATTATTATTATTTACATTTATAGGCTATTTCAACTCAGTTTTCTTGTTTTCGAAAGCTGAATTTCAAAATGCACATAAAGTAGGCCTATAGTGTAACAGAAATGTAGCAGTGTTTTAACTGCGTATAAAAATAATTACTGAAATTAATATCGATGTTTTGTAGCATTAAATCGGTCGCGCACAAGTACCCAACGACAGCAATATGAGTTATGAACCGGCTGTAAGCATCAAGTTACTCTTTTGGCTGTCAGCTAAATATGGAATTTTAGGATAATACTTACAACATAAAAAATTATATATTTGAATTTAATCAAAAATAAAATAAAGAATGATTTTTAAAAGTAGGCTGCATGAAAAATATCATGGCACAAAAAAGAAAATTATTATAATAATTTTTTTGTTGTTGTTGGTGGTTTCACTTGTTGCTGCGTATTCCAAAACACTATATGCGTATAAACGCACACACACGATTCATTGAAGGAATTAAAGGACATCTGACTGTAATTATGTCCTATGTTTTATCAGCGTCTGAGCAGAATTAGTCTTGACGGCCACGTTTGAGGGTTTTTACGCACCCGTTGCGCCATGAGGACTCCGCGTCACCGACTCCCTGTTCTCAACACGTCCAGATCTCAGTGCCGCGAGCCCGGGGAGCCCCTCACCGCACTCACAACTCTCCCGAAGTTCCCGTGCTGAACAATAACATTGTAATCCACCCCAAACACTCAGCTGGTCAGCTTTCGCAACAAACGCAAAGCTGGATATCAGTAAGTTACAATTCCAGTTCTCGACGCTCCGAAACAGCCGAAGTGCGCGTCTGACGTCTGCCTTGTTTTTCTATTTACAGTCGAAGATTTGTAGCCAAAAGGTGGAAAAGCAAACTCCATTCGGGGCTTTGATCGTTTGGCTGGTTTATTCCTAATGCAATAACACCTCTATGAGATGTGAGGAGCGCGGAGAGGGAGGAGGAGGAGGAGTAGAAGAGGGCATTTGGACTTCTTAAAGGAGACGTAGAAAGGGGGACCAAAGCGAACCCGTGCGTAAAGGGCGCACAACTCTACACGGAGCAGGACACTGGGAAAATGCCTTTTAGAAACCAAATTAAAGTTTTCAAGAAAAGTGACAACTAGTCGCATATTAATTAAAATGTAAATAATAATAATTAGAGGACCATATTAGACCAGCAATAAGCCAGCCAACAACTGAAGTTGCACGGTAATTTAGCGGATGTCCAGATTAGATTAGCCAGATTTTAGATTTAGAACAGCTAAAAAACAGTTTGTGTGTCCCATTATTACTACAATGAATAAGTCATTCTGACACCCATAACGGACAGTTTTAACACATTTGGTTTTATTTAGAAAGAAACAGAATATTAACATCATTACAATATAATCCCACGGTTTCACAGACCAGGCGTAAACTAGTCCCAGACTAAAATGCATGTTCGAGCTGTTTTAACTGAAACCAACTTGGACTGACTTATCTTAAAATATGTCAGTGACATTGTTTTCTCAAGATGCTCACCATGTTATAAGTGCCATTAACTGTTTGGTTACCAACATTCTTCAAAGCATCGTCTTTTGTGTTCGGCAGACGAAAGACACGTATACAGATTTCTAACAACATGAGGGTGAGTAAATGATGAAAAAGAACAAAATAATTTTTGGGCGAACTATCCCTTTAATCCAAGCCCTGTGTGAAACCGGGCCAAAATGCCACAACTCAATAAATAAATACAAAGTTATTATTTCGTGTAATCTGATAGTAACATTTTACTGTGCAAATTCCTAAAAACACAAGCATAAATGGATTTAACACGGTTTATTTACTAACTAGGCTACATCTTCTTAAGTGAGGGAAGGAAAAGACGGAAATGACTTTCTGACAGTGCTCTTGGCGCCCTCTACTGGCATTATTCACGTTGAAAGGATTCCCACGTCAAAGAGACTTAGTTGAAGACTACATTTTTTTTTTTTCAATTTTAACTCTTGCCCTTTATTGTTTAATCCTTAATGTTAACTGGCAATTACTGCAGTTTTTCTATATAAGCTGTTTTATCTTTTTTTTTATCAAAAAATACTGTACAAACATATGATCAATAGGACAACATGTGTTTTTACATTGCTTTAACCCATCAAAATACGTTAAGCAATTCTCAACTTTTTTATAAGTTATACAAGGTTCAACTCTTTTTTTAAAGTCAGTTTAATGTAATTTAAGTTGAATTGACTTAAACATCCAAGTTGATTGTACTCAAAAGTTTAAGGCAGCAACTTTTTTACAGTTTATTTTTTCTCCTTTCTAAAAATGCTGATGCACATTCCTCTTTTTTTTCTTCTTTTTTGTTGTTGCATATCTGTGAATTTAGTTCCATCAGCAAAAAAAGTTATTAATGCAACCGCCTTCTTTTACCTCGAGGTGGCAGCACATGATCGGACTCGACGCAACGCGTGGCGAATGGACAGAATTTGGCACACAATTCAATTCAAAACAGCCATCATTTACATTTATGGAGATTTCTATGGGTTTGTATTGAAGACTCTAAGACATAAGTAGATTGTTGAAGACTTGAAGAAATACTTGCATACTTGTAGTGGAAAAGTTTCAGAAACTCGCGATGAAATTTGAATAACTGCCTCTGGCTAACTAAAAAACTGGATTCAAGTTCAACAACCATTTTTTTTATTGAGACTAGCTGTATAGGTCCAATTTATATTATATATAGCCAATACATTTTCTCAAGAAACGCCTAGATAAACAATGTCAAGTAATGCAATATTATTGGCATTGTTCCATAAAGAACCATTTCAACAGTTCTTTACAATGGAAAAGGTTTCTTTATACTATAAAATGTTCTTCACACTTTTGAAAGTTTGGTTACACTTTATTTGGTAACACTTTATTTTACAGCGTCAGTGTTACATATGTTACATGCAGTTACTAATAAAAACTATAAATTATTCATAATTACATGCAACCAACCCTAGCCCTAACCCATATAAGTAGGCCCACATCTAGCTAATATTACTCAGTACTTAAATGTATAATTACAATGTAACAAAGACACCTTAAAATAAAGTGTAACCCATTATTTAAGATGTCTGTGTCACAGTGGAATTATACATATATATAGCCTATAGGTACTGAGTAAAACTAGCTGGGTTAGGGTTAGGAAAAGAGGTTGGTTGCATGTAATTATGCATAATTTATAGTAACGTAACGTGTGTAACGACGACACCGTCAAATAAGTGTTACCGAAAGTTTACGGGAGTTTTGGGGAACCAAAAATGGCACTTCTAGGCCTATTGCTTTACTTCCTTTTCTAACCTTTATTTGTAAGTGTGTAGACCAGTTAGAAACCAGCTGCCGTGCTTAAACTGGACTTCAAGCAGTGACAGAACACAGAAACGTGTGTTCTCGTGAACTTTATTACTAGAGGGGAAATAATAACCCCGAGCAACCTACAGATTAAGGTGAGAGGATGCACTAGGTGGCGGGACGTTGGCACAGCCCGTCACACTGGAGATCCCTCAGTCCAAAACGGGCTGCAGTCGTTCCTATGTGACGTCATTGCTTCCGCAAGCCCCCCCCCACCCCCTTCCCCCCCCCCCCCCCCCCCCGTGTCGGCGGCGCTCGCCTGCTGCTGCTGACTACACAATCCAACATGGAGTAGTGAGAGATGGGGGCTCCTCTTCGAGACCAGCGCGCAGGCTTCAGCCACGGCAGAACGCGACGCGAGGCGAACAATCATCGATATAGCCATCGGGATGTTGCATAACGCGAGGATTCCTGGATCTTTTAGCAGATGCATTGCAAACCTTGACGGATAGAGAGTGCAGTGCGCGGAGGAAGAACGAAAATAAGGAACGCTGAAGCGGATTTGGGGGAAACTCGTTGATGCACTGGACTTTAAAAAAAAAAAAGGCGAGGTGGAAAATCGAGACAACATGAAGCCCGAACGCTGCGCGCCCGCGGCAGGATATTATTTTTATTGTAGGTGAAACGAGGGGGAAAATGACTGAGGAATCGCACCCAGACGAGTGAGTAGCCTATTCACTTTTTAAGAAAACGACGCATGTGGACACGAATGGAAATCTTATCCTGTGTCCAAGAATGTGTTCCCGAGCTGAACGAGGGGTCAGTCAAATGCAGGGAACTCGTGCATGCGCTTCTGAGACGGACGTTGGAGATGTTATTACTAAGAAACAATGCAGTGTCAAAGAGATTTTGAGTGCTGGGCCCCTGCTGCAGGGCTCTGAGTCTGGTCTCAAACCGAGAACGGGGGGGAGGAGGAGGAGGGGCTCGAGCGGAAACATTTTGTGGAGGGATCCTTTACTGAATTCCTTATATCACCTCGACCCTAAAGACGAATTTCCGCTCCGAGGAAGCAAACTGACGACTGAGAAGTTTTATAAACACTCAATGCTAGAGCAATGAGCGCGTTTAAGCTCTCAGAGCGGCCGTTCTTGGTGTCTTTCTTTGTGGTGGTCTGACATGCTATATCCGCCATTTCTTTTTCGTGAATCGCTCTCATTTGCATACTGTCCTTCATTCATAAAAATACAGGCGGGGGCGCGCGCAGCAGAGAGCGCCTCAGAGCTGTCCTGATGTTAAAACAGGCCCTATATGGCATATATAGGCCTATATGTGCTTTTTAAATGTTGATTTTAATCAGGCCGTTTCTTCCATTCGCAAGAAACAAACAAACGCGAATAAACACGTTATGAATGTAGCGCATATCGGTTGTCATAACAGTAGACTGTTTAGCAAGTAGGCTATATTTTAGTTAGTTTGGGATTTCTTTTGCCACGTTCTTCTGCACAACATAAACACTCGTAGCTTTTTTCCACGGTAGTTTGACTCGGACGATCAAAGTCTCGTTAATAGCATTAGGGCCGTGTTAAATGGCTCGTTAACTCCGTGAGCTCTTTAGGGGCTTAAAAACTTCTGTAACGTACACTCAATCTGTATTAACAAGGCGATGTTTATTTGGGCTGTCTTTTGTCCCGCCATCCGTTTTGATCAAACGATTATGTGAACGTTTATCGTTAAGTCTTGTGTAAGAGAGTCGTAGTTTAAATATCCCTAAGGAATATTATTTAGGAGACTGAGGTGTATTGTTTCAACGTCTGTAACTCTTTTTTGCTTTACTCAGAATTTAATATTCCCATATTTGTCTACTTGAATTTAAAGTAGGCCTATATATATTACTTTTCCTTAACCTGTTGTAACTCCAATTGAAAACATGGACGTAACATTTTGTTCTTGAATTCATTTTGATAATCAAATTGACATAACTAACGTAAGCTATGTGTGCCTGATTGTTTAAATATGTTAAAAACATTTACTTTTTCTTACCCCCATGTCACACACTTAGCTATAACCGTCAAATATTTAAAGACCTTTTAAAAAGACCTTTATTTTTTTTGTGCCTCTATAGTAGATATCTAATGGTTACCTTTTTAAGGCGATTTTTGTTCGCGATCTAGCGCAATCTGACTGCTGAAACATCGTTAAAAACATCAATTTATAATCAACGACCATCCCAAACCTAGTAGGAATTGGTTGTGCAAAAGTTACATTTATCATTTTAATTGCTTGAACTCAAGTTGTATTTCCTCTCCTGGAGATCATGTATCGCAAGAGCGTAACCCCGAAGCTGGTGGGGAATTTCTCTTATTTTAATTTATGGCACACTCACACCCGTTTGAGTAAATACGTGTGTCACACTGGGATGTAAAGGCCCATATAATAGCCCGGGGTTGTGAAATGTTGACTTTTATCGGCGGAGGGGAGGGCTACAGGCTACTCCAAAATGGGAGGAGGTTTCTGAGAAGGCGCTCCCGGAATGATTGTGAAGGGAAACAATGGTGAGAGGATTAAAGAAAGATCCGGCGGAAGTGAAAGAGGAGGGTGAAGCGGTGAAGCGTAACTTTGCTGTCACGCCCCTCGATTGTTTGATTCTCAATGACGTGCCAATAATGAATGGATTACTCTGCACAATTCATTTCACTGCAAGGAAATCTTTCTGCTTTACCCAATACAGGCATATTTCTCTTTTTGTGTAGTCTAAACCGTTATGGCCCAGGCATCACAGATATGAGTTTCAAGTTTTTGAAACATAGGCTATATATCTGGGCACTTAAACAAAAAAGTCTGAAGGCCATTGCACAAGGTTTTGCTAGGCTTTTGGTTAGAGCTTACTTTGCTGACTTGACTGACCATACAAAGTGTCCAATGCTTTTTACATAATTGAACCATTTTTTAAACAAAATTTTTGTTTGTTAAATGTGAAAAGTGTATCTTTCTTTTCTCAGTTGTTTTGATATATTGTTATATCACGCATTCTTTACTTGTGACTTATGCCTGGTACACATTGTATGATTTTGGGGCTGTCCCAGATGAAAGTCGACCAACCGTGGCGATTTCTGTGGTTGTGGTTCAAAGAGATTCAAAGATGGCGGTTGTCACGGTCTTGCAACCAAAGATAGCCTGTGATAATTTTCTGACAGTGTCAGAAATTTAGCATGATAATCATCTCACAGTGTGTGTGCTGCTACGACCTATGTCTACTGACTAGCCAATAAACATGCGACGTGACATGGCACTAAAACTTAAAACCACTTACCTCAAGCTCCATTTGCAAAATTGGCATGCCAAGTCGGCCTCTTTTCCCAAGCCATGACTGTGTCCATATTCTTCTTTCGCTTCCTCGTCTTTTTTCAGTGCACATAAAAACACGATTGCTAAAGTGCGATTCATCTTGGTCTATTTGTTTACCATAAGCGCATGCTGATGACGTTTTATTCTTCTATACTAGCTTGCGCATAGCCTACGATTCAATAGGTGTCATCATCGTACAGTCTACATGCATGTCGTACCCAAGTTTATTAAATCCATGTTGCACAGTGTGATTTGTAATGATCTTATAGGATTGTAGCAGGCATTAAAGGTCTAAATCGGGTCTTTTCGGGGGCCACTGTTTCAACATACCAAACATTTGAGTGGTGGAAGATTGTCTGCCAATTTATTTAACATTTTTATTTTTTTAAAGTGTTGTTTTAGGAGATTGAATTGTACATATATCGCGTTTTAAGCAGTTTTACTCTAAAAAGCTACATCGTGCTACATTTTTACTCGAAACCATTGATGACCTTTGCCTGCTTTATGTATTTTAAGTTTGCCTGACTGATATTGACTAAATAGGTCACTGTCCTTAGTACTGTAGTGCTGTTCTCGCTACTTCCTGTGTGTTATTGCAAATGACCTCTTGGCCATTAGGCCTTGTATCACCACAATGCATATCTGCTCTCGCTGTCACACAAGCTCCATTTTTCAAAATTAACTGAATAATTCAGGTTCATTGTGACTGAAAATGTATAAATATCATAGGGAGCTGAAAAGGACTTAAAATTTTTGAATTTTATCATCATTTACTCATGTCATTACAACCTTGTACTATTATTCCGACTTCAGAATGACATGAGGGTGAGTAAATGATGATAAGATTTTTGTTTTGGTGGAACTATTCCGTTAGAATGTTAAACACTTTAGAGTTTTCTGAAAACTCTGGAATGCTGGTGTTTGTTTGTCTTTTTTTTTTCTTTTTCTTTTTTTTGGAGTGGAATGCGAGTTCCTCAAAAACGTGCTGAGCAAACCAGTGGCTCCCCATTGGTAATGACTGTAGCCTGAAGGTGTGTGTACGTTCTCACGTGAACTGGCTGGCGCCCAGACCTCAGACCCGGATGCCCTCTCCAGCCTCTGGGCCGTTTGGGAGGGGAGGAATGCAATCTATATTGATCAACCCAGCATGACCTATATGCAGAGCACCATTATGGGTCAATAATATCTGAGAGGGGAAGAGAGAGTGACTTTGAGTCCTGATGAACTGTTCTGATGGATTTACGGTAAGGATCAGGATTGATTTGCGAGCCAGGAAGTGTTAGGGTAGTGAAATACAGAATGAAGTGACGGGATTTGAGTTTTAAAGAGTGGAAGAAGATCGGAATTAAACATTTTTCCTTTGTATGTTGTTCAGTGTGTGGGAGACAATGGTTGCTTTGGCAGCTGCATGTGTCATTGTATTGTTGTATACCAGGGCTGTGTGAACAATCCGGCGATACGATACAGGGGTTACAACACGATATATATTGAGATTAGGGCTGCACGATATTGAAGAAAAATGCGATAACTCATTAAATAATTGCGATATTGATATGCGATACAATAATGCTTAAAGTGTGTAAAATAAATTAATAAATATATTTAAAATTATATAACGTGTTTCACATTCTTTTTGTGACAAGAAAACATCCCTACAACTTCTGAAAGTGAACATCAGTGTTTTACTGTCGCATAAGAAGTGTTATTTTAAAGGGATACTCTACTGGTTTTTCATATGAAACTATGTTATTCCCTTAAGTTAACTAAGACGAGTTGATACATACCTCTCTCGTCTCAGTGCGGGCACTACATCGCTGTCTTGCGGCGAAACTTTGTTAGATCTTATCTCAGCCCTGTTCATTCAATACGGGACAAGAAGAGAAGCGACCAAACACCTCCACGTTTTCCCTATTTAAATACAGTTACACGAGTAGTGTAACTCGACCTAGGACGGTGACACAAAATAAAACGTTGCGCTTTTCTAAGCGTGTAAAATGGATAACTAATATTGTATGGCAGAATACAAGTGCTTGGGAGCACTTCGACTCGGCGCAGTAATATCGTCACTCGTGAAAAATCCTCTCCCCCCGCTCTCTCTCCTCCTCCCTCTCATTTCAACGGGAGCGGATTTTTCACGAGTGACGATATTACTGCGCCGAGTCGAAGTGCTCCCAGGCACTTGCTATGGTATTCTGCCATACAATATTAGTTAACCATTTTACACGCTTAGAAAAGCGCAACGTTTTATTTTGTGTCACCGTCCTAGGTCGAGTTACACTACTCGTTTAACTGTATTTAAATAGGGAAAACGTGGAGGTGTTTGGTCGCTTCTCTTCTTGTCACGTATTGAATGAACAGGGCTGAGATCAAATTCGCCGCAAGACAGCGATGTAGTGCCCGCACTGAGACGAGAGAGGTAACAGTTATGTATCAACTCGTCTTAGTTAAGGGAATAACATAGTTTCATATGAAAAACCAGTAGAGTATCCCTTTAACATCAGCGTAAACCACGGGGTTTAGGGTTTCAGGAACGCCTACATTAGGTTTATTTAACAACAGAAACTGAATAATCAAATGTAAAAATAAAACACTGCTTAGTTTTCACTGTATGAATTACTGATTCTTATTAAAGCTACAAAAGTTATTCAGCCAAGAGAAGTGAGGGATTTTCTCTTTGTCTTTTGTTCATGACCCCAGTTATTGCAAGCCGTTGCGATATGCATATCACGATATAACGTTACATATACGATATTTCGATAATTTCGATATATTGTCCAGCCCTAATTGCGATACAGTAAGAAAGGTGATATATTGCAATATTATAAGAATTCAATCCTTGCTATCTGTTTATGTGGACACAAACCTAAAAATCAGATTGTTAATAACAAAATGCATGATAAGTCTGAAAGTAATTTTACAGACTCCAGAAAAACCTCATGCTCAGATAAGGAGGAAATGAACTCATGTTCTTGCCGTTTACATTGATTTCTCATCAAATGTTCCATGGCTACACCGTTAAAATGAACTTTTAGTTATGAGCTGTGAATGAAAGTTGAGGTTGTATATATCAGCTGTTCTGATGTTGACTGGCGGGTTAATCCCACCATTAATACGAGGTAAAGATGAGGCTGTAATCGAAGTTCCCATGCTCTACCGCAGTCAGTATGTAAATTACATTGTGGGAAATCCTGATCCCAAGTTTTGCATTTGTTAAACCGTCTGTCATATTTGTGGTTCAGAATTTCGGATGGCATTATCATATCTCTGCATTAGGCGTATCACTGTTTTTAAACGACGACCGAAAATCTCATTAGCATAACGAACATCACCCTCTTCAAGATTTCTGTACACCTTATTTGCAATGCAGAGCTGTCATTTTTAAGCTCATGCATCTTCCCGAACGGATTATGATGTCATCACTATGAGTCAAGTCTGGGCCCAATCAGGCTGCTTATGCTGATATTTTACCATAAGCTCAATAAGCTCGAAAAGTCAGCATTTTAATAAATATTTAAATTTGTATACATTATTATTTTAAGTATGTAGTATCTTTTTGACAATTTGACCATTTCATGACACAAGTCAAATGGTTTCAAATGCAAAAACCCGAGAACAAATTATTATTATTTTTTATTTTTTTTACCATTTTTCTCATGTTAAAAAAGTTCAAATGTATTACACTTTAAAGGTGTAAGGAAAATATTAGTATTTCTTGTTTGTTACACCACTTGACTTTGTAAAATCAAAAATTTTATTGAAAATGAAAACGTGTGTAACCAAAGCAACATGAATACAGAGAGTGCATTTCTGTGTGTTAAACTACATTTCTTCCCGGATTCTTTCTTATATGTCAATGAAGCACATCTTTCCGTCTCTCCCTGCAGTGACAGTTACATAGTGCGAGTGAAAGCTGTGGTAATGACGAGGGATGAGTCTAGCGGGGGTTGGCTGGCTCAGGAGGGCGGAGGTCTCAGTCGAGTGGGCGTCTGTAAGGTGGTCCCAGCTGACCTGGAGATCCTGGGACGCAACGGCTTTCTCATCTTCGGCGAGAGACTCAAAGACAAGCAGGTTAGAGAGCTGACCGCATAGTACAGTTCAAAAATCGGATTCCTCGAGCCTAATATCTTTGGCTTTCTCTCTCTGTGTGTGTGTGTGTGTTGAGCAGGTGATCCTGCAGTGCTTTCTGAAGAAAGATCTGGTCTACACTAAAGCCACGCCCACTTTCCATCACTGGCGAGTGGACAACAGGAAGTGTGGCCTGTCGTTCCAGAGCCCCGCTGACGCCCGGGCGTTCGATCGCGGCGTGAGGAAGGCCATCGAGGACCTGACGGAGGGTGAGCGAGATGAGAAACGCCCGAGACATCGTCTCCAATCCTGACTGAGATTATAACACGAGTCTTGCTTTTTCTCCAGGCTCCACTACTTCTTCCTCCACCCTGCAGAATGAAGCCGAACTGGGGGATGATGATGTTTTCACGGTGAGCGAACAGTCCGACTAGAGTCTTGCATTTGCCCTCATATGGCATAGAAGGGTTAATTATTAATTTTTTAACCAGAGGATAATTGTCATTTTTATACGTTTAAGTGATTCGTTCAAAGATTTCAAAATGATTCATAGAAATTAATCAGCCTTATCAAAGGTTTGTAAAACATATCTTTCTTACATCTTGGCGTTGCTTAACTTTCTCCAGCAAAAGGATTGTGACTAATCATGAATGTTCAACATATCAACCGGGTATTATCTTCTTTTTTCTATTCATTTATCTACCCAACCTCTGAGAATAGATGCTATTACTGGGTCACTTGCCATCATTTTTCTGATGAATGGTTTTGTGTGTGTGTGTGTGCTCAGGAAGTGACCTTTGCTCCCTTTGTCCTCCTATTGCTCTTAATTCAACACAACAATGCCACAACAAAGCCTTCGGATACAAGAGTCCATTTAACACGCACGCACGCACGCATTCAAGAGCCCAAGGTTATACAGAGTGAAGAAACATGAATGTGTTTCTTTTGGTCTGACTTCAGGCTTTAGGTGCGTTTGCCACAGTGGTGTTCCTCTAATCGCTAACTTTAGAAGTTTATGACTCACTGCTATTCATACAAGCCCAGCCAGACACTGATTATTACTAATCAGAGTAGTCAGTCGCTCCTAAGTTTAGAGAGAGAGAGAGAGATGGGATGTGTGCTGTAGGTTTAGAATGGGCAGCAGCTGTTGGATGTCTAATTCCCTCTGAGGTAAAGTCTAAAGTGATAATTAGCACAGCCACAAATACATTTCCATCCAGACATTATGCACACAACTCTGTATGTACTTAGTATGTTTGTAGATTCACACTCTCATATACACTCAAGACATTTACATAGATCTATCTATCTATCTATCTATCTATCTATCTATCTATCTATCTATCTATCTATCTATCTATCTATCTATCTATCTATCTAAATGAACTATATTTTTTATTATATAATATAAATATAAATAATTATATTATTGTGTATTATAATTAACAAGGCAATACATGAACTTTACGGTAAAAAAAAATACATTGTAAAAATTTGAAATATATTATAAAGTGAATAGTATAAATTATCTTATAAATTTAACGAGATTGCATATGTTTTTGTAAATATAATGTCTAGAATGTGTCACCTTATTATTTATGGTGAACATTTTGAATGTTATATGACCCATGTATTTTTACAGTAAAATTATGTTTAAAAAATGGTGGAAGTAAAATTAACATTTATAAAATGTATTTCAACATCAATGACAGGGCAGAAAAATATGTGGCGAAATGGGGAAAATACGTTCAAAATATTGCTATCAGATGAGAGCATGGTGCTTATTGTAAAACTGTACACTAGACTGATGTGTATTTATTTATATTGATCTTATTTTATTATTATTATTATTATTTTTATTTCTATTATATCTTCTGTTTTAACTCTTTTTATTTTTTATTCAAAAATGTATCATCACTATGGGATATGTTAAGATGTCAATTGTAATATTGACCACAATGTTGATTACAATGTAACAGTGGTGTTTAAAACTCAATAAAATACTAATTATGAAAAAAAAATTAACGTTTATAATAAAAAAATTATTTAACAAGACAATAGATGTTCTTTTATGTAAAAAATCAAATTTAAAAAAAGTTTGCTTTTGTAAGACCATATAATTTGTGGTTAAAACGTTAAAGAATTTTCCCAGAAGTCCAAAAAGACGCATCACATTTGCTTATATTTTATTTTCTTATGTTGTCGGTTTATGTATACTGGGGAGTTTATGTTAGATTATGTTGTGTAGTTAATGTTTATTGCATTATTTTAGTGTCACGTGTTACCCTGATGCTGCAGATGCCAGATTTTTGCTGTAAATTTAACAAAAGTGTTTTACAGTGTAGTGTAGATTTCAGTCTTTGCAGTAGAAAGGAGCCAGATGACTTAAGAGAGGCGAGCTGTGTTTGTAATCATCTTGAGCTCTCTCTCTCTCTCTCACACACACACACACACACTCACTCTTGAGTTATTGATGGCCCTGTGGCTCTCTGTCAACTCTTAAAGCAGATGCTCGCACACACACACACACACACACACTCTCTGCTGGCTCTAAACTCAGACTCCAGGCTTCAGGAAGAGCCACAGGAAGGAGACAGTGTGGATTTCAGGGGTTGAAGGTCAGAGATAATAGTGCTGATGATAGTTCTCAAGCACTTCATTTACACAAACCTCACACACCCAGACGCGGGGTCAAAGGACAAGCAGAATGACCTGCGCAGCGTTGCTGTGGAACGTTTTAAATGCTTTTATACACAGACACTTTCCGCATGGTGAAAGTTCAATTTGATCCTGAAGCCGAGCTATAATTAATCTTTTATCACGGTATCTTTATAAATCACAACAGTTATTTTTGCTGGAAATTCAACGAAAAATACACCTCGGTGTGACACTGCCAACATGCTCAAATTGGGAAACAATTTCTATTGTTGCTCTCTCTGTGTGTCCGTCAGAATGCCACAGACAGCTCGTCGAACTCTTCTCAGAAGAGAGAGACGTCCATGCAGACGCTCGCACCCATCAGCTTCTCTGAGCCCCACCACTGCATTCTGGGACATCTCTATGACCAGCACAGGCACTCTGACCGTTTCTACCTGGAACAGGTGAGTTTGTATGAATAATCTGTTGGTGCAACATAGTGTTGTCACGGTACCAACATTTCAGTATTCGGTACCAATACCAGTGAAAATCCACGGTTCTCGGTACCAATTTCGGTACCAAAAGCTTAATTTAGATCAAATTTACATATATTAAAGTGTATATCACAGTTACAAAGATGGAAACTGTAGTATTAAAAATCCTTTACAATAAGATTATATTTGTTAGATAACATTAGATAAAATTACCTAACAATAAACCATAGTTATATACTGTAGCAATTATTCTCCTTGGGGTTAATTTAAAAATATACTAATACATTTTTAAAATCAAAAGTTTTATCTGTTAACATTATTTAATGCACAATGAATGAAGTGAACAAACATGAACAATCAAGTGTTTGTATTAAATAACATTCACAAACATTAATTAATGTTGCAGAAATATATTGTTCACTCAATGTGTTGATGTTAACACATTAAGTAATGTTAATGAATGGTATCTTATTGTAGTGTTACCAAACTATACAGGAGATAGAACATGTTTTATTTGACTTAACTGTAGCCTACTTTTATTTAATCCCAAACTGCCAAAAATGTCACTCTTGCCTGTCTTCAAAACTTGATAACCCTGTAGCTGATTTCTAATGCAAGGGCTAGAAATCAATTAATTCTTTGCTGATACTTCCTCGTCATCACGGGGAGCGCAGTTTGCACAGCTTTCTCCTTCTCTGCACAAGCGCTCGCTCTCGCGTGTCTCCGCTATGCAACCATAAACAGTGACGCGCATGGAAAAACAAGCTCGCACGTCGCTTTCTATTATGAGCGCGCTTCCCGCGCGCCTACATTTGAAATTTGCACGCGCAAAAAACGTGCTATGTGAACGTGTTGCCCTTTATGGCAACGTGACATTAGCCTAATTCAAACATATTTCCATATGTGGCTCTTTCCTCCTTTCTTGTCAACAAGTGGATTCAGAGCCAACGCATTAGCAGCGCCGCCGGTCGCCATGTCTCAGTGCTTTTATGAAGAGGACGCAACTCTGCACCTTTCGGACAGCGCATCAAGAACCGGATTAACCCGGTACTCGGTACCTAGAAAAGCTGGTACCGTAACCGTAAATTTTTTTTAGTACCGACTTGGTACCGAAGTACCGAGTTTTTTGACAACACTAGTGCAACATTTACTCAAGTTATGTCATCACAGTGTACTGTTTTACTGCACTTTGAGTCTTTACTTGCAGTATATTCTTAAGACACTAGGGGCAGTATACTGTTCAGTCAGGCAGACTTTTACAAATTTTTTAATAGTTATTTTTTAATTCACAATTTTAAGTATGAAAAATATATGAAAAATGTATTATTATGCAGTGTTATATTAAAACAATAATAATAATAATATTAATATTTAATTATAAGTTAAACTTTACACTCACTCTTTCTCACTTCGTTCACTTTTGGGTCAACTGAAGAAAAAGAACTACGTTTGATTCTTTGAACTCTTTCTCTGCTAGCGTTTTTTACAACAAAAACTGCTTTTAAACAAACAGACAAAAAAAAAAGGCTGAGAAAATCATGTTTTTGTGTCAAAGACTACGTCTGGATCGGATTCAGAACGATGATCAAAACATAGATGGAGTAGATAGATAATGTTGATGATCGCTTTATTTTACATATGCACATGATCACATTATATCGCTTGTTTCTGCATCTTCTTCGCATGTGTTTTGGTCAAGAGATTCTCTACTCTTTCAGAAGATGCGTAATAGCGCCCCCTACCGTATAACAGTGGAAAGACGGAAAAATCCGCAATGGAAGGGAAAGAGTTAAAGAGTAAAGATTCAAGTGGGAATAAAATATGACATAATCAATCAAGTCACAAAAGGCATCACTTTGCATCTTTTGTTTTAGCGTGGTTTCATTCTTTTTATGCCTCTTTAGTCTTTAAAGATAAATGGTGCAAATATGTGATTTGTGTTTTAGGTGTTCAAGATCAACCAGTTCCATTTCATTCTTCATATATCTAAATCCAGCTTGTGTTAAACTCTCTAAACATACTCTATGTTTGTGCCTTGCAGACGGTGCCCATGTTCCCATGTTCCCGGCACGTACGGTTTCACGAGGAGGACGAGGAAATCGTCCGGATTAACCCACGCGAGCGCTCTTGGCTAACGGGCTACGAGGACTATCGGCACGCCACCACAGCCACGCGGGGCAAACCTCTGCGACCGGACGCCACGGACGCTTACGTTCATCTCGCAAAGATCGAACCTCCCAAACACGACTACACTTACTCTTACCCACTCAGTGGGGACGGACACACTCCCCGCGACAGCAAAACGGGCATCGGCGGAGGCGTGGTCACTGGTCAGCCGCGACCGCTAACTGCTAAATGGCTGCCGCGGCGCGTGGAGGACAGCAGAGAGCGCTTACGGTGCGTGTACTGTCAAAACATGTTCAGTCCGGCCGAAAACAGGCGCGGGCGCTGTCAGGAGGCCCCGGACCCCGTGCAGACGTGCATTCGTCGGGTTAGCTTCATGTGGTGCGCGGACAGCCTGCTCTACCATTGCATGTCGGACCCCGAGGGCGACTATTCGGACCCCTGTTCCTGCGACGCCAGCGAAGAGCGCTTCTGCCTGCGCTGGCTAGCACTCCTGGGACTGTCGCTGCTAGCGCCCTGCATGTGCTGTTACGCGCCGCTGCGAGCGTGTTACCACTGCGGCGTCGCGTGCCACTGCTGCGGCGGCAAGCACAAAGCCGCGGGGTGAAACATGCTAGCGCACCAGCAGCTGGGGGAAATTACAGCGGGAAATGCTAATGAAAAGTGGAAGAATGAACTTGTGGCTGCATTTGAGTTTTACCCCTCCCATTTTTACGTTTTGTTTTCTCAATTTAATTGTACTGGACAGCTGTGTCCTGGTTTGTATTTTTCTTTGTTTTTAAAAGAGTAACCCTCAGCTTCCATTTAAAAGACTACACGATAAATATTCATTTATATATGAAAAGTATATATAAATATATGTAGATATAAATATATAAATCCAGGTACTTTATATTTTTTATGCTCATCTGCTTCGAAGGTTTGAATTATCTGCCTTCCGTCTCGTCTGTGTTTTAACATGTTGGTTTGATTTGATTTGACTCTCCCGCATCAGCCTTTCGTTCTAGTGTCTTCAGTCAAGAGGCTTCTCTTCTACTGTGATCCACTCCGTCTAGATAAGACAAACCCAGAGGAATCCAAAATAGCTGACCTGTAGGACGGTAGATCTCGTGTACGTGTGTGTGTGTGTGTGTGAGGTCAGAATGGACTTGGTAAATGACATTTTGCCAAATTGCCAATATTAATTTGCAGTGCGCAAACTGATGGCAAACACATCGCTGCCCGAGTGTAAAGCAAGTGTGTGGGTGAATCTCAAGAAAACATGTGCAGGTCATATTTTACCCCAAAATCCCAAGAAAACATGCTTTATTTGGACCTTTTAGCATTACTTTTATGAAAATTAAGCATGTTTGCCAACTAAAGTGTCATTACCGTAATGCACAAAAAAAAAAATCATTCTCATTACGGTAATATTTTTGTAATTTTTTTTATGATTTTTATAAAAATGTTTTTATTTTATGACGAGACCAGAGGGAAGAGTACACCAAATACTACTATTACTTATAAATACTTCACTTTTTTTATTTTTTATATTCCAGTAATGAGAGTAAGATTGTTGTTGCGCTACTGTAATGAAATAGCGTGCTTGATTATCATGAAAATAATGAAATACCTAAAAATGGGTTTTATATTCAAAAAGTGAATTTTTTGGTTGCTTTTGGGGTGAGATATGAATTGGGACGTCCCGTGTTCTCATAAGGTTTTCGTGAGGTGTATGTGCCTGTGATCGATGTTTTGAAAACCAGCCTCAAAATCGATGTACCCCCTCCTACAGGACGAAAAACAAGATGTCTTTTTTTCTCTTGCCTTTGTCTTAAGCACAACACAAACTAGTTAAAACTAACAAACAAGGAAAAACAAACCATCTGAAACACTGTGCAAAGTTGTCGTGAAGTTCTCGAAAATATAGTTCCAGTCGCTGGCCTATCAGCAGAATCCTTCAAAAACAACAGCCAGCCAATCAGTGGACTGTGACAGCGTTGTCATGACGACTGTGATCCTGACGTTTCATGTCTCTCTATCTCTTGTCTGTCATCTATCTTCCCCCCCTCTTCCTGTGAAAAGCTTTTGCAGTAGTACTATCTGATGCGTGACATAAGAGGAGCAGTTTTATTTTTTTATCGGTGTCCAGGAGAGTGAGTTCTCCGTCTGTCTGATGCTCCTGAACACTCTGAGATTAAAAGAAAGTGCCTGAATCAGCCAGTGCCGTCTCACCCCTTCTGTCCATCTCCACATCATTCATGTTACGTCGCGGTATTCCTTCCTCTTGACATCTGATTGCTTCAATTACAAAAGGTAACATTTTGTCACGACCAGTCCTTCATGCTACGCTCATCAAGATCATTTGTTGGTTGCTCGTCGGTGGGGTTTCTGAGGTAAAAATATGACTTTTTAGCAACGACATAAATGCTTCTCAAGCTCGGAGATTGTTAAATGTTGGTATACTAATATAAAAGTCACAAGTCAGTGTCATTTCAACTGTTTCAAAAAACTGTTCCCAACCCTCAAACTATTTATATATTTGTATATATTTGAATATTTTGTAACAAATATATCAATAAAAATATATTGAATATACATTTGTTCTTATATTAAAATGGCATGGTTTTTATATCTCTATATGTATGTGCACAGACATTAAAACTCTATATGGACACTTCACATTTCGGGGGTTCTCGGAAGTGGGGAGAACTTCTTTAGCGGTGAACGGGAGACTACTGCAAATATAACTGTTGTATTTCCATTTGCTCTAATAGCAAGAGAAAAACCAAGGAAAGAGTTTCCACGGCTTTCCAAAAGAGAGAAAAAATATCGAGAGATTGATTATGTTGGTCAGAAGAGAAAGATTTTGTATTAGAAACCCTCACATGTATGTGAGCAATATTATATAGCATTAATGTGTATTAAAGTCCCCCTATAGTCAATCATTTTTTCCCTTAAAACTCATCTTGGATCACCAAAATGACATATTTAAACGTTTTTTTTTCTTGGAAAAAAAATCGTCATGCTTTAAAATATCTTCAATGTAACTCTACACCCTTGCCTCATTTATCCGCGGTTCTATGAATATGCAAATTAGCCCCGCCTCCACTCACTCACACCAGCTCAGAGATCCACTCGTTGTCGATCACACGTTGATTTGGGGTGCGTTTCCCGAAAGCATCGTTAGCCAAGTATGGTCGCAAGTTCCGTCGTTACCAATAGAGTTGCGACCATAGTTGGCTAACGATGCTTTCGGGAAACGCACCCCTGATTGGTTACTGGTAGTTTGTGACGTCAGAAACACCAACGATTTCAAACCGTGTTTTTGAGACTGTCTTTGGTTCACTGCAGTTTTAAGGAGAAAATACTCAGCAATGCTGTCGACTTATGAATTTGCACATTGCTTGTCTTAAAGCAAATAAAAAACACCACATATCAACAACATTAAAAGCTGGATTTTCACCACAGGGGGACTTTAAATGTTTAAAAATGAAAACCTTTACTAAATTTGCTATGATGATAACTGTGGAAACGCGTCATCGCAGTCTGAAAACTGTTCATTGAACTTTTTTTTAAATGCCTATGGAGAATATTAATGTAAAAACATTGACTACGTTTGCATGTGCACCAATAATGTGATTATCTCTAATAAGTAGAGTAAGGACTTTTACTCATTATTTATTTATTGCGGTTAAATTCGACATATGCGTCATATATTACAGCGATCATTATGATTAATACTATTATGAGCTTAATCGCATCAATTTGGTCAAAGTATTACATTAGGTAAAGTTTAACTGCAATATTGCCTAAATCTCATCATAATTGCATTATGAGGGTGCGTGCAAACATAGTCAATAATAGACAAATTACAGACATTTGACCATTATGGAAAAGTGTGTGTGAATGTGCATGAATTACATGTGTGTGCAGAAGCCTGGCACGTGCTTGCATGACAGCGCGTCCCATATTACACCCCCAGTGACCCACTCTAACACTCAGTTTGTTTCTCCCTGTGCATTATCTCTCAGATCTCATGAATATACAGCCATTGTAATGCAAAGTCAAAGAACATCTTAATTCTGAGCTCCCGAATGAGTGAATAACAGCTTGAGTGAGACAGATGGGGAGAGCGAGGCTGTCCCGAAGGCCTTGTCCAGCTTTGGAGCTGTAACTACAAATAGCATCGAATTCCAGCATGTGCAGACATTAAGGCCACACTGGAGTCAACAGGAGTCCTTCTTTGTCCTCTTCCCACTGTTAAAGCGGAGGAATCCGGTAACAGCACACTGTAATGCATATACCACAGTAGGGATGACCAAAACACCTTACAACATGACGAAATCATGACCATCCTGCTGGAATCAACCAGCCAGCTTCTGGGTTTGTCCATTCGTCTGCAGGGAGATGTTGATTATAATGGGAGAATGCTAGTTTTACCATTTGACTTTTGTCTCACTCTCGTCATTCTGCCAGCTCTGTTGATCATTTTTGGTTAACACTAGTACTAGTTTTGTTGTTCTACTTTTTTGTTTGTTTGTAATGACCATTTTAGGTTTGTTTTTTCATCTGCTGCAGTCTTCGTTGATGGGTCCCCGGACATAGAAACATAGTGTCGGCCCAGATCCGGCCCACATTCGGTACGCGTGGATTCCACACGGCCCAGATGTGGGCCGACACTGTTGCTGACTGTGGTCGGTCTAATGTATCCAGTTTTGTTTTCATTAATGAAAACTCAAACATTCAAATTTTTCGTTTTGTCTGATAACAGCTTCGTTGATGACCTCAGCATAATAGTTTTATCGCATTTCATTTACCAACAACTTTAGTGATTATAATGAGAGAGTTCTACTTTTGTCTAGTTGTTTCGTCCACTGACAGATTGATTTTAATGGTAGTAGTTTTGCCAGCTTCACTGATGGTTACCCAGACAGCAACAATGTGTCGGCCCAGATCCGGCCCACATTCGGTACATGTGGATTCCACGCGTACCAGATGGGGGCTGGAGCCAAAAATGGCGTACGCCCAAAAATATTCTGACTAATAAAACCGTGCGTACACCAGAACCTGCACAAAATTCCCTTTATAAATCCCAGTCAGCGGAAGATTGTGCGGACATGCGTCTCCTCCCCGAAATAACCATATATGGAGCTTACAACGCCTAATTTTACTATGGATATCCTCATCTGCATATCCAATTATCCACGTGATACCATGCTTAACGGTAGGCTACCAGACATTAGGAAAATATGAAATACGAATGTGGCGTCACATTACATTGCTAAGCCTATCCTTGCCTTGTTTTTGAATAAATATTTATAAAAGCATTACTTCCCGAATGGGCCATCTTCCGGAACCCCGTCACCCGTCCCTGCTCCCAGACTGCAGGAGGCGCCGTGATGACGCCACCCGTCTCATTCAGGACCCTGTCGGGCTATCGCACGCATTTGAGAAGGAGTGTTTGTGCAACACAGCTTCCTCCCAGTTGGGAACAAACAGATCACACACACCAGGATGTTATTGTGCGTGACACACTACTAAAGAGTTTGAAGTGTGTGAGAATGATGAAGGTCAACAAAGATTAAATGCACATTGATATCAACATTTGTAGCTTTATACAAAAGAACAAGGAAGAGGGGGGAAATAGAGATGTTCGGGGAGTATGCGTTCTCCAGAGGAGTCTTCCCACACTGAACAGGGACCTCGGAAGGAGCCGTGCGTGTGTGTGTGTGTATGTGTTTGCAGGAAAAGAGAGGCCCGGGCCAGCATTGTCTCTTTCCCCGAGTACACCCTTGTTTGTTTACTTTCAGCAGCAGTTATCTGGCAACCTGTCCACAGGGCCGGAGAGGTCATGGTAATGAATTTACTGCAATAGTCCGAGGTCAACCGGAGCCTTTTGGGCCGTACAAGTC